CGGCTGAGTGCTACGTTCCCAGTCACGTGGTACTAGAGGCCCTTTATTCGACTGGGTGGCGCCCATAAAGAAAAACCCCACGATCAGCTCTCCTCCGAAATACGAGCTGCCAAGGTGTTACCTATTTTATATATATAAAAAAAAAAAAAGGGAAATAGGTAACAACCTTTCATTCGTTAAATTAAAAGGGTTACTTGTATCTCGTAACAGTCTCATTTCAACTCTGTTTATTCGTATTTGTTCTTTTCTATTTTCACGAAAAATTATAAATCTTCTAAAAGGCAGCATTTCAAAATTTTAATTCTTGTCAAAATTATGCCAAAATTAGCTGCATCCAATTGTAAAAACAAAAATTTCACTAAAATAGCGGGTTATCAATTGCTAAATGACGAACATATCCGAACGACTTAGCAATTTGTATTGATACTTCAGGAGTTGATACGCTATTCTAATAGCTAACGTTAGCGTAGCAATTACCGAGAAAATACAGTACTGGAGTGATAAACGAAAATCAACCAACACAGGTACCCAATTCTGATATTATTTCAATAAATCAGTCCACGGATAGTACTCGCATAGAACACCTGGAGCGACTTGTTGAATTACTGTTATGTGAAAGAGGTGTTCAAGGTCAGGGAAGTAGTTCCCAATTTATTGTGAAACCCGACTGTATTCCACTATTTAGTCCGGGTGATCCAAATTTATCATCCCCCTGTTGGCTCTATAAAAGATTGATCAGTTGGCTCAAATTAATTCGTAGAATGAAAAGACGAGCATTTACCATATCCAAAGTCGTCTTGCTGGACTTGCCAAAACTTGGTATTACAATTTACCAACCTACGATTTAAACTAGGGACAGTGGAAAGAGTTGATACTTAAAACTTTTCCCGATCAGCGAGATTTTGCTAGTACGTTACTTAAACTCTTAAATAGAAATAAGCAATTGGACGAATCGTAGACCCAATATTACTTTGAAAACATGGGTCTTCTCCAAAGGTGCCGCATTACAGGACCTAACGCGGTCTCTTGTGTAATCGATGGGATTCGCGATTTAACAATTGAGACTGGGGCACGAGCGGGAAGATATTTAACACCAGAGGATTTGTATCGTGAATATTTGTCCAGATTGGCGAATCACTCCTCATCAAAACATGTACCATTCGTACAAGCTTAGAGACGTTCTGTGCAACAAAGGCTAGGTCCAAGTTCCAGCAAAGAGGAAAAGGAAAAAAAGAAAAGATCCATTGCGCGATGCTATAATTGTGGTGACGGAACACATTTAGCATCAAACTGTCCCAAACCACGTAAAGTTTGCACCTTGTGTAACCGTTTGGGACACGAAAGTGAGTACGAGAAAACAAATTTCCAAAAAGGTCATGGTGTGTTCGATCGTTGAGAAAAACGATGACTGCTACTTTGTTAACTGCAAAGTAAATGGTCAACTACTTCAGAGTTATATTGACACTGGTTGTAGCGAGGTTACTATACGTAAATCGGATGCAAAAGGTTTGCGTCTTGATTGGGAGTCATCTAATTTGACAATGTAGAAGTCGACTTGTTTGAAGCAGAGGTCTCATTTACTCTCGTGGATGATCATCTTCAAGCAGGTCCTGTAATGATCGGACAAACTTTTATTAACAAGGCAAACGTTGCCTTGGTTGTCCGCAACAATGAAGACCGAATTTTCGATGCAAGCCTTATACAGTTACCACAAATTGATGACTTACCACCAGTCAAATTGAGCCTCTATTCCAAAAAGGATGTGAATATACCAGCTGACCAAGAAGTACCCGTGTGTGTTTGTTGTCAAGAACAGTACGAGGGAGACATTTATGTCACTTACGGACAACGTAACAAACCCAAAAATGAATTTACAATTTCTCATTGTGTAATTTCAATTGTTGGCGGAATAGGAGTGTTCTTAACCATTCAGGACAAACCCTGCAGCTGAAAGCTTCGCAGCTATTAGCAAGAGGGCATCCTTGGATAGAAGATGCCTCCTGGTCCACTTCCAGAACCACTCTTAAGGAGACGGTAAGTGTTTTTACTGTAATAAGTGAGGCGGAAGAAAAGAATTTCACGAAAAATGACATACAAAATCAAAGCGATTCCGATTTGGATGAACGCCACAAACAACGATTACTTAATCTTTTGAACAAGTATCGTAATTGTTTTGTTGCAAATACAAATGAATAAGGAAGAGCAGTAGACACTGAAATGAAAATTACTTTGACTGACGATGAGCTGATAACGTATCGACCCTATCGTCTTACTTTCTCTGAACGCGCTAAGGTACAATCAGCGTAGAAAAGATTGTCCTCCTAATAAACCACTCGGACCCTTAGAGGCTGAACCCATAAACCGCAGTAATAAATCTTTTCTATTGTAAACGTTATTTCTTATTCAACAGTATTTTTGTTTGGAATAAAGCTCAGTTACCGATTTATTTTCAATTAAGTAAATAACAAATTATTTTAAAAGATTCACAACTTTATACAGCAACTAAAAATTAAATTAAGAAATAATTTTAATTAATGTTTGATTAGTTATTTATTTCCAAAGATACCAAGTGAATGCCGTTTTAAATGGCGTAATTTAATAAACAATACATATTATTGTCAAATTTCACATAATTTTTGTCGCTTCAAGAATTTTTAAAGAATTCTTTTCGGCACAAAAACCTAAAGCCTTTTCACGATTGGTTGAAATAACGCGAGAGCATTCAAAAAACAATATAAACAACACTTTTAACATTATCACTTATCACTCATCATGCGTAAGAATCGAAAATTATGGCTTGCTCCAGAGCCAGCGTGCGAAATATCCACTTTATAGAAATCGCGTTCAATAAAAAATTACCGAAGAAACAATAGATGATTAATTATTGCACCAATTAAAATTCTTATTTTAATGAACGTTACTTTGACAAAAAGTGTATAACCTCTCCAAAAATCGTCAAATGTAGTATATTCGTGATAATAAATAGCTCGCAAAGCTAGTGTTTTTAACAAGTCACGCATGTTTTAATGACTTATATCCTTGTGTTATAATAAACTATTTTCTCCATCTATTGTTTTTTCCTAAATCTTTTTTTCATTGTTGAAGTAATTTTTGACAAGTTACAATAAATTGTTAAAAAGCAATGCGCGAAATTTTAACTTGTTAAAAAGTGAAGAAAATAATAATGCTAGTTAATTTACCATGAGTTAGTAAAAAAAATGTCTAAGGGGTAAAAACAGAAACTAAAAGTAAACTTCATTATAAAATAGTTTGCGTTTCTCGGAAAGAATTTAAGATTTAACAGGAAAATGTAAAAATATTCCAAGGTTTATTTATTGCCTTTTTCCTTCTTAACCCCTATTAGTCGAAAGTGGTCAACACTTCCCACCACTGTTATCTGCCAATTGGCAAAATTAGTTATTCCAAATGTTGTGATTTGCATTTTGTTTCTGAAAGTGTGAAGTTCTCGCAAAAATAGTGTAAAAAATGCCTCGAATGGCAGAATAAGTGCCGGATTTTGGGGATGGATGTCCCATGCTAGACCAGGAGAAAGTTGCTAAATTACACCACCAAAGTTCATAGCCCGTCGGTATGTCAAAGTTTTAGAGGAAGTAATGCTTCCTACTGTAACAGCGCTTTTCCCACCTGAAGAGATGGATGAGCGAATAGTGTTTGTTCAAGACAATTGTCCCATCCACACGGCCAGAATAGTTCGAGAGTGGTTTGACGACCACAATGAATTTTAAATTCTTCCAAACCAAACCAAAAAAAAAAAAGTTATTAAAAGAAAAGAAAAAAATCATCAGTTAAAATTTACATTTTATCCTACTGTTAATTACGAAAACATTGTAACAATAATAATTGTCACATAACGTTTACTATGTGAGATAAATTTTTTATCCTAATATTATTACAAAGGGCATTACACATTTTATCTTTTCCTAACGAAAGTGTCTAATTGTAAGCCGGAAAAAGATGAGTGATTATTTCTTACTGCCTGCCAAGAGCTTACAACGGAAAAGATTTATTGTTGAGGTTTATAGGTTCAGCCGCTAAGGGCCGTGCGGTTTATTAGAAGGACAATCTTTTCTACGCTGATATCATTCGAGAATCAAACGCATCCTACGCTACGCAATAATCTTAGTCAAAAAGAAGAAAAGAAGTTCAAATGTGTGTTGATTACCGCAAACTAAATTCAAAAACCGTAAAAGACCGTTACCCTTAATCAAGGATAGATGATCTTTTGGACAGGCTTAAATCAGCAAAGTATTTCATAAGTTTAGATCTGAAGATGGGTTATCATCAAATACTTATGGCAGCGGATTCAATAAACAAAACGGCTTTTATTACGCCAGATGGGCACTACGAGTATCTTCGCATGCCCTTTGGACTTGTGAATGCACCGCCAGTTTTTCAACGCAAAGTAAACCAAGTGTTAGGTTCGTTGCGATTTACAACAGCTCTGGCGTATATGGACGATATTTTGATTCCAGTAGAGACAGTCGAAAAAGGATTTGATACGCAGACACAAATTCTAGATTTGTGTCAGTCTGCTGGCTTGACACTTTGTTTAGAGAAATGTAAATTATTTTTTTTTTGTCAATTGAGTATTTGGGGCACGAAATTAGTGAAGGGGTAATCCATTCGACCAGGAAATCGCAAAATTCAGGCTGTGGTAAATTTTCCGAAACCTGCGAACGTACATCAAATTCGCCAGTGTTGGATTGTGTAGCTATTTTCGGAAGTTTATCAAAGGTTTTAGTACAATTGCTGCACCCTGGAGACGAAGTTAATGATTGCACGACCGGTCTTAGCAATTTACGACTCTACACTCTTAACTGAAGTGCATACGGACGCATCAAAGTTAGGTGTTGGGGGCATTTTATTGTAACAAAAAGATAAAACATTAAAACCTGTTGAATATTTTAGTCGTCAGACAGGTAAAGAACAACGTTATCATTTCTACGAATTGGAAACTTTAGCAGTTGTGAATTCACTCCAAAAATTTAGGATATATCTGATCGGTATACAATTTAAAGTTGTAACTGATGCAATTCGAACAACTTTGACCAAAAGAGATCTGATACCACGAATAGCTTGTTGGTGGCTTGTGACCCAAGAGTTTGACTTCACTCTTGAATATGAAAATGCCACATGCTGACGCTCTTAGCCGAAATCCCGTGGAAGAAGCGTAGGATGATTTAATAGAAATCTTGACAATGAATGTTAAAGAAGACTGGTTGTTGTCCGTCCAGTTGAAAGATGACAGATGGCAATTTTTACATGAAGTATTGTCTAAAGATCCTACAGATAAGGAAGAACAGCAAATCCATAAAGAATATGTTCTCCACAAGAATAGCGTTTTTAAGATCAC